CATATCCCCAGGTGAGGATAAAGAAAGAAAGAAATGTCATATCCTATGAAAGACACTTCTTGAAAATGCCTAAAGAAAGTTGTCATTTTTTCATGGTAAAGGGACTGGAGTCCGTGTTGATGAAAACACCTTGGTGGCTGCGGTGACTGGCAGTGGCTGCAACAGTGCGGTGATGGGGCTGGTGCCTTCCCCTGATCAGCCCGGTCGACTCCCACAAAGGGAGGCCAGACTGTGGCTTAGGCCTGCTCCCCAAGGGGAGCAGGGAGCAGGTAGTAGGACATGCCCTAGGGCTCCCAGTATGTGATAGGGGGCAAGCTGGGCTGAGGGAACCCCCTCCCCAGTGCACAAATTTTTGTGCACCGGGCCCCTAGTATATATATAAAGAGGTAATATGCAAATTGTATGTTACTGCATCACAGTAATGACTGTTCAACAGGCTGGGCGTGGCTGCGTGTGGCAAGGGGCAGGGCTGGGCGTGGTGAGGGGCGGGGCTGCATGTGTAACTGGTCACTAGGAGACACATGGAGCACCTCTAGGTCCCGCTCCCACAGGCAGCGGCGGCAGCTCCCTCCCACCTCCCGAAGCGGCGCGGCTCCCTCCTGGCTCCCACAGGTGGCAGTGGCTTGCTCCCACCTCCCGCGGAAGTGGCGCAGCTCCCTCCCTGCTCGCTTCTGCCTCCCGTGGAAACAGCACGGCTCCCTCCCGGCTCCTGTGGAAGCGGTACAGCTTGCTCCCGGCTCCTGTGGGCTCCAGTAGCTCTCGAACGTGGTGCAGCTCCCGTGGAGGCAGCATGACTCCCTCCTGCCAGCTCCTGCGGAAGCAGCGTGTTCCCACCGGCTCCCACGGAAGTGGCGGATGGCCTCCTGTGTGCGATATCGCACACTGGGCCACTAGTGTTATTACAGATGCAAAAAGACAGATAGGCTTAGTTAAGGTAAAGGTTGACCTTGTCAGTGAAGATACCGGCCTAGAATGTAACTACCCACCATAACTGCTTTTAGTTAAAGTTTAATTTCAGACCATCCTTTGTGGTTACTTTAGGTCTCTGAGTTTTCGAGACTGCTATGCAGGCCTTCCCTGAGTTTGTCAGGTTAGCATGTGGCCCCTTTCGTCCACACCATCTATAAAATAGGGTCTGAAATACAAGTTCGACAAGGTAGTTGCAAGGATTATAGGATAACTTTGCATAATGTGTAACATGTAATAAACACTCAATAAAAATTTGTTCCTTTCTAAAATTGTGCCTCATATACAGACATGCTTCAGAGATATTGCAGGTTTGGTTCCAGACCACTACTATAAAGTCAATATCGCAATAAAGTGAGTCACATGATTTTTTGGGGGGGGTTTCCCAGTGTGTATAAAAGTCATGTTTATACTATACTGTAGTCCATTAGATGTGCAATAGCATTTTGTCTAAAAAATAATATACATAACTTAATTAAAAATACTTTTTTGCTAAAAAATACTAAACATCACCTGGGCCTCCAGCAAGTCATAATTTTTTGCTGGTGTAGGGTCTTGCCTCCATATTGATGAAAACTCAACATCTGCAAATGCAGTAGAGCAAAGTACTATAAGAGGAGGTATGCCTGCATGGCCATTATCAGCAATTTAATCCTTTTATTGTTCACTGTTTCATATGCTTATATCTTTACTCCTCTTAACCAGGCTGACATCATCTTCAAGGTAGAAATTTTCTACATGCCCAAACAACATAGAATAATCCTGAGAACATTGTAGAATACCAAGTTGTACTTAATATTTTTCTTATTATTTATCGCTCATTAGTAATTTGATTGTTATTAATTGGTTTTCTGAGCATCAGTTTTAACCTTTTAATGAAGTCAGATAGAAGGAACGACTCTCATCCTTCTGCCAAGGGAGTCATGAAAATAGAACTTTATTGTGGCCATGAACTAGATAGATTGAGATCTGAGGCATCTCTAAATGGCCCCAGTCCCAGAAGGTCAGCAGCAGGGCTTTATTAAATAAGTGTCAATTCCACAAAGCCCTTGGGAGGACAGAAATGCCCAGCCTCATCTGACGCAAGGCTAGCAGAACCCATCTTCCCATGAGGACATGCCATCCTCAGCATAAGTTGGAGTATACCGATTCTAAGGTAATGTCTGCATTGGTAGAAAACCCTGTCTAAATAAGCCTTTATCCTTACTTCCCCATCAGTCTCTCTCATCCTATTATTTTTAAATTACTCAAAATGATTTTTGCAATCTAAAATTATACTATCCATTTGTTTGCTAGAGACAGGAGTTCCCCCTATTCCAGGAGGATACGTTCCAAGACCCCAGTGGATGCCTAAAGCAGGGGATGGTACTAAACCCTGTATATACTTTGACTTACAGTGAAGTTATGTCCAGATAAAATCAGATCTCCAACTGACAATCAAGCAGATAAGCTTGGTGAAAATGTATCTTTGTGGCTGGGTTTCCTTGGGAAGACCTCTCTCCTTTAGTTTATTAAATGCAAATTGGTACAGCAGAGCCTCTGAAATCCTCAGAGTGCTCAATAATGACTCAGACATTTGCACCAACCAAACAGCTCTTCCCTTCAGTCTCAGCCCTCGATTCTCTCACAAATGACAAAGTATTGCATAAAAGAGGATGTTAGTCTATAGCAGTGGTTCTCAACCTTCCTAATGCTGCAGCCCTTTAATACAGTTCCTCATGTTGTGGTGACCCCCAACCATAAAATTATTTTCGTTGCTACTTCATAACTGTAATTTTGCTACTGTTATGAATCGTAATGTAAATATCTGATATGCAGGATGTATTTAGGCGACCCCTGTGGGTCGTTCGACCCCCAAAGGGGTCGCGACCCACAGGTTGAGAACCACTTGTCTATAGGCTGAAAGAAGTTTCTGATGTTCTCATTTTCTTAAATTACTAGGTTTGAATTGAGATGCTGTCATTTTTCCTCTAAAACTTATTTCACTGACTTTTAAAATGTTATTTTATTTTTAGCCTGTCATTCCTTCTACAAAAATTCTGAGCATCCTTCAAAGCTGAATCAAGTTCTCCCCAGCCTCACCTTTTTACACTGAGCATCTTCTCTGAGTTTGCAGAGAGCATCTTCTGTCATTTGCCTCACACGTGCCTGGTTGCGTGAAAAGTGAACCCTTTCAGGAAAGAAACCAAGAAACATTTTTTTATTCTCTGTTATGTGTAAGGATGCTGACAAGCTAGTATCTAAATTAAATTCACATTAATCTGTCAAAGAATACAGCATGAAGAACAATAAATCCTTGTAAATTTAGGCCCCGTTAATTTGGAGTGAATGCAACCATTTTGCACTATCCTTGACAAATGGGATTGGTTGATAAATTCGGCAATAAGAATAAATATGTATTGAGATTCTGTAAGAGGCCAGGAGCTGTCCTGGGCATTGAGGATGCAAAGAGGAACAAGACAGCTTTCCTCAAGAAACAGGAGCAAGGGAGGAGCAGCTTAACTATAGAGAAATATATTTCTATAGGCCTTTGTATATAATAACGTCTAGTAGCACTTTGTATGTAACCAGTGTACCAATTACAATGAATTTTCACGATTGCATTGGAGAGAATTGGATAGAACATATTCTTGAGTATTTATCCAGTTTTGGTTAAAAATAAATATTTTTATTACTTCTCAGTTACAGATAGAAACATATGCCATGATTCAGATGTAACTGATTTGTATTATTGTAATTCATCCAAATTACAGAAATTGTCTGTACCTAATATAATTTGAGACATGTCATGCCCAGAGAGCCTACAAACCACGAGGCCCTCAGTCATCCACTGTCCCTGCTGTTCTGGCAATGGTCTGGTGGCTAATGGAATTAACCGGCATGCCACTCTTTGGAGCTATTTATAAAACCAAAGTGATGATTAATTAAAGTTTTTGCTCCCCCAATCCAAGCTCCATTTCTAGTTAATGAGTGTGATGGTCAGCAACCTGCCACCACCCCCCAATCAAGCCCTGGTGAAATGGTCAGTGGGTTCCCAGTGTAACTGTCCACCAGGGAACAGTCAGGGCAGGAGATTTCAGGTCCTGGCTCTGCTGCTTCCCATCCGCATTTAAATACAGGCATGTCACAACCTTTATCATCCTGATCTCCCATTTACAAAACAGTACTTCCTGCCTTGTCCACATCTCATGGCTCTTGCAGAGTTCAAATGAGATATAGGAAAGTGTTTACATGTGGAAGAGCCCTAGGCACATTATTAGTGTCTTAGAAGTCATTATTTAGTGCATGACAACTCATAATCACCCCTCCTATGCTGTGGTGGTACATTCAAAGGAGAGTGCATATATTTACAATTAAACATTCCAGTTTAATTGTAGCCACAGAGGCAGTCTTCATTCAACCCCTTAGGCCCGTGGTCGGCAAACCGCAGCTCGCGAGCCACATGCGGCTCTTTGGCCCCTTCAGTGTGGCTCTTCCACAAAATACCGACTTCTGCTCATGGGCCACGAAGTTTCAATCGCACTGTACGTGCGTGCCCGCACGTGGTATTTTGTGGAAGGTGATTATGTAGGTGGGTTCTGACTTACAGCGAAAATCGTGTTACATCTCACCGTAGGAATGGATCTCTGACATAACCCAAGGACCTACTGTATATAAAATGATGCGAAAAATAATAGCTACCTTGCAGAATTGTGGGTGGATTCAGTGAGATATTCATGTAATGTCTAGCTAGCACATGACTATGATGAGGGAGGCTCTTAGACTCATGAAGGCTTCTAGGGCTAATCTGAAAGTGCACGTCCCACTGAAACATCTACCTCTCTCTCTGATGGACTCTGATTCGGTCGGGATAATTTGCTCAGTTTCTCTGGAGCTTACTTACTAACATAAAATGAGGACAGTAATATTTTCTTCATGGGATCTGAATAAAGGTCATATGAAGTAGTGGAGATGAGAGCACCGTGTTCATTGTTAAGTGCAGGGCATGTGCATAGGCTGCTATTCACATTTGCCATAAAAACAAACACACAGAGAACAATGGCAAAGATTTTATTTAGCGGCTTTGTGTGCTTGGCACTTAGAAACAGAGTTCCGTGCATTAGGGCAAATTTTTATACACCTCTTCTTCATACATATTTTACATACCCTTTTTATTGCCCCCTTTTTTAATATTCATAATATTGAATTCCCCACTAGGCACATAAATACACTTATCTACAACACCTCAAAACCAAAAATCTTAATAATATCTGTATTATTTTACTTGGTATTATTTGCATTTCCACACCATTTAAAAGGTTGAGCTTGCACCAAACCCCACTTGTTTTTCTTATCATTAAAGGATTTGAAGGGGAAGGGAAAGATGAAGGCAAAAACCCAAAACATCAAAATGCAATGAACTATTTGATAAAAATGGAGATCTGAGGGCAGGTAGAAGGATGTAGAAGGCCCAACTGCAATTCCCTGGGACATGACAGGATCTCTCCTGCCAGGTGTCTGCATCTGACTTGTGAAGGCCAGGCTTCTTTTGTCACCTCTGCACTTGGTTCCATCTGCCAGGGTCATAACACTTTTCCATCTTCACACTCCCCCTACGTCCCTTCTCACACCAGGCTACATGCTCCAGAATCCACACTTCCCACGTGGTGCACCCTCTTCTGGATCACAATGGTCAGAGCTGTGGGATCAAGACTCATTCCTTGCACGGTCCCTCTCACCACTGCCCTTGACCAGGCACAGTGTCCCAGAGAAGCTCACTCCTCAACAACACCATGATTCCTTCTATAACCTGTAGGGGGGCTGGGGAAACAAACCAAAACCAATTCCTTGGTGAATTGAAACTCTCATCACTGCTCGCACTTCCTCTGTCAGTCTTGCTCTCGGCCTCTCTCTTGCCCTCTATTCTTTCTCTTTCTCTCTCTCCATCTTTTCACGGCACCACTGGGAACATCACACTGACTGAAGACAACCAAAGTTTAAAAACAAATTTCTTCAAGAAGCCAAGTCCAGCTGTAGTTCTGATGTCTTCCCACCTTCATCGATGGGAAGGGGTTCCAGGATACATGGTTCATTCCAGAAACAGAGACAGCTGCAGGGGAGAAAGGTGGGCAGTACTGCCGGCCGGGTCCATCTAGTGTCATACACAGACAATTCTCGGCGAAAATACCCATTGCGGGCCTCCCTCCACAGAGTTCACCCAGTTCTGAGTCTATGTGCATGTATATGTATGTGTGTATGAGTCTGTGTGAACATATGTGTGTATGCATGCATGTAGGTATGTATGGGTCATTCTGTATGTGTGTGTGGCTAACTTCATGGCTGCAAGACACTAGCATCTCCCTTAACATTATTATAAAATGATTATTCAGTTTCTTCAAAGAACACTCTGGAGTAGACGATGCTTTATAAAACTAAGCTTTGGGAAGGCAGGAGCATGGCCACTGGGTTGAGGATGATTCCATCATGAGTGTACTTCAGTGGCTTCAATGTCTCTTGTTCTTGGGCATATGCTTTCCTCCTCCAGAAAAAAAAATATATATGCAGTTCCTGTGTTTCAAGGGCCTTGGGCTCCTAAAGAGGAGGAGGTGCCCATGGAGACTCTGGGGCCTTGGCTGGTGTTTGGACTGGCCTTTAAACCATGTGTACCGACATCTGGGAGGAGGAGCCTGGGACCGCCCCATACTGCCGGCCGTCACAGGTGTTAGCCCCTTGCTGGTTGTTGGGCGAAGGGCTGATCATGTGCATGCTGTGCTCCATCCCCGTGGGCAGGTACTGCCTCTCTCCGAAGGCCCCATTGGAAGGCGAAGAACAGAGTAAAGTGCTTTGCGAGGCGCTCAGTTTCTCTGGGCTGGCAGCCAGCCTCGGGGAAGCGGGGAAGTTGTATCCGTACAGATTGTAAGGGTTGTGGAGAGAGAAGGCATTGTAGGAGCTCTGCTGCATGTGGCCGCCCCCAAACATGTGTGGCGAGGAGGAGGTGGAGGCCGCATTGCCTGCCTGCATGACATACTGAAACTGGGAAGTGGGGAACGACCCCAGCTGGCCACCGTAGGCTTCCATCTTGCTGTTGCTAGGCAACGAGGGAGGAGTTGGTATTCCTGAGATCAGGGATGGAGTCCTCTGAGGCATGAAGGTTTCGGAGGGCTGAGTGGCTGCAGCAGCGCCACTCTGCAGCCTGTTGTAGCCACTGTCACTCAGCCCTGGGTAGCTCTGCAAGGCAGCCATGTTGCTTCGGGCACAGGGCGGGTAATCAGAGAGGTTCAGATTGCACAGCTGGCTCTCTCGGCAGCCCACATTGAAAGTGTTGGGGGCCAGATGAAAAGTTGGAGGAGAACAGGATGGAGATAAAATATGAGAAGAAGCTGAAGGGGATGGTGTGCCAGTGCTGGAGGTGGTCGGGGAAGTGCCTGTGCTGCCCCCTGAAAAATAAAACATGAATTCCATTGAGACAGAGGCCTTTTAAGTTGAGTCTGTCTAGGCCAGATGCAAGCCATGCAGGAGGTACCCTCAAATGTCCAAGATGGGCTGATTTTTACAGAACCAGTTTTCTCTTAGCTCAGCAAACTTACGGTAAGTGATAACACCTGTGTGTGTGTGTCCTCTCCAAAAAAGAGGACAAAGAGGGTGACAGAAACGAATACCAAACTCTTTTGTTTCTCTGTGAAGTAAATCTTGCTTTTCAGAAAAAATAATAATAAGCCTTCTAATATTCACTTTGCCATTTCTTACCATCAACCTCAGTTTCCAGTAAGACCTCTGGTAATCAGCACTGAAATCCAGTAGCTCAACTTTTCCCATTCTCAGTGGAAATGCATTATATATGTATTTTATTCGGGCACTGTTGCTTGCTTCACCATATTTAGACTTCCAGCTAAAAATACAGGATACCAAATCTCAGGGTCTTAATCTCAGAGGAAATGGAGTACTTGGGGCAAGGTGAGCCAAGTCAAGGTTGAGGCCTGGGAGGGCTGAGCAGAGTGGCCCAGGTAGTGGGAACTGAGGTATGGGATTGCAGTTCTGTCATATGAAGTACATTATGAGCACAATTGCAAGAGCGAGATTAAGCATAAAACAAAGCTCACCAAAACAAAGTCTCCTTTTATAAAAGCCTGCCCAGTTTCAAAGCCTGGAACAAATATTGCAAATGCCATTTTTGGGTTTGGGATATTTACCAGGACAAGAGCCAATCAGGTAGTAAAGTCTAGAGATCTCTGTTCTACTCAGCTTGGTTACACTACCCCCCCCCCCCCCCCCCCCGAATCTGACCCTAGGCATATCACTTTCCCCTCTGGGTTTCAGTTTCCTTATCTAGAAGATGATAACTTGAGTTAGATCAGTGGTTCTCAAGGTAGGAGGAGCTTTAAAAATTTCTTAAGTTCCAGAATCCCACCTCAAACCAACTAAATGGGAATTTCTGAGCATGGGACCTCCATATTCATATGGTCTTAAAGCTCCCCAAGTGATTCTCATGTGCAGCCCTAGTTGAGAACCAATGATACAACCCAAATTCCTTATTTCTAAGTACTGGAATAGTGATTGCTAAACTTAAGTGTGCTTGAGAATCATGGAGGGCTTGAAACCCAGATCACTGACCACCCCCTCCCCTCCCCTGGGGTTCCTGATTCTCTAGGTCTGGGGCAGGGCCTGAGGATTTGCATTTCCAGTAAGTTCTCAGGTGATATTGATGCTGCTGGTGTAGGGAGCACATTTTGGGTTAGAGGGCCTCTTGGTCCCTTTGAACTCATAAAGCCCCTGGATCTGGATCTGAAAGGGCTCTTGTGACATGTGGATATTAGAACTGGACTGGTGGCAGGTGCACCAACAGGCGAAGGGCCAGTTCAACACAACCTGCTTTTGCCTTCAGATAGTTTAAGACCAAAAAGGACCTTCTCAAGCCTCCCCTTTCCCAGGCCAGGAAGCAACAGTGCAGCATCCACTTCCTGTCTCCCCATTGGAAGTTCAAGACAGTGGTTGGGTTCTGAGGCTGTTGGATCTTTCCTTTGAATTCTCTAGAATGAGCGGCTGCTTTGTCTTCCATAGGGAATCCCCCATGATGGAGCTCCTCCTTCAGGGCAAGATTGGGAGTTTCCCAGAATGATAGTGAGCTATGATTCCCCAAGGTCACCCACAACTCATGTAGGGACTCTTAGAACCTGGGCTGTTGTAAAAGGGTCAAGGACATTTTAAGTGGAAAGAAGCAGAAATAAAGTTTTTATCAGTGAGGGAAATGTGAAGAAAACCAGCAAGATTCCAGATATTGGGATGCAAAGAAACCACCCATAGGGTACCAGAGAGGACAGCCCAGATTTGCACATAGAGAGGCAGATACCTCAAAGAGAAGCCAGAAGTTCATTTTTAACAGGAAAAGAAAGGCCTCAGCCTACATCTACAGAAATGGTAATAGTGTTGGATGTAAAAATACAAATTTAGTTCTTAATAGTTCTTTTCAGTGTCAGATTTTTATAGAGCCCAACTAATATCTCTTCCTTGGTCAAAATACTAGTAATTTCCCCAATGAGCTTCTAAGGTAGAATTGGATTTAGTTATAAATAGCTGCTGATTTTAAAGTCATTTCAGGAAATTCACCTTCCTGGTTTCTTGTTTATGCCTTAAATTCCTTTAAGAGAGGTAGCAAAGACTTTTATTCCATAAATTGAGATAAGGCCAATATTGTAACTACTTCTGGAAGACATCAGCCAGCAGCTGACCATGGTAGGAAGAGCACCAAGCCTGATTCCATCTACCCAGCTCATGACCACGGGCGAGGTGGGCTACCTCTTCATTCCTCTCACCTGTGAAATGAGGGGCTTGAACTGATAGACTTCAGTTTGTTTTTCTTAAAATTACATTTGTGTCTGAGGATTCAATTGATGCTAAAGTGCGAATAGCCAATAACAAATCCTTTCCAGGAATCCTTTTAATAGAACGAAGGCATTCTGGAAGGGAAGACTGGGCAGAGTGAGAAAAAACCTCTGGTGCATCTTGTCTTTGTACCTCTGAATGCCTAGCCTGCAGGGCCTTACAGGAAGCTTGGGAATTTGTTTTCTGTAAGCCTTTAGTTCCTCTTAGACTAGAGGCATTTTCCTTATCTTTCACCCTAAATGCTGTGAGCTTCCGTGAAATAATTGCTACAGCACAAATGGAGAAACTCGACTCCAGCTGTAAAGAGAGTTGTGTTTTATGGGCTCTGTATCTGGTCTCCTCTCTTTGAAAGCCCGTCCTTGCTCTCCCAGATCTGGTGTTTATGCAGTCCCCCCAGAGAGCCCCTGTGCAGGGCATTGCACTGTCCTGTTACAGGTAGGCTTCATCAGGCGCTGGCCCTCACCCTGCAGCAGGAAGTGTAGGATGGAGCAGATGACTTTTTACAACTCTAATTGTTTTTTTGGGTGACCCGAGATGGAACGAATGGTACTGATTTAAGCCCTCAATTGGTTTCACTACAAAAAAATAAGACGGGAACTATTAACAAGTTACAGGGATTTCTGCTGAGCAGATGAGAGGCACATGTTAAAAAGTTTGTAGTCAGCTTGCTTTGGCTTTTAAACGACACTCACTGGAAATGAGACTTGGTGGCCTGCTGAGCTTCAGGGGGTGGGAGCCCCCCATATGAACTAGTGTTTGAAGTGGGGAGAGCAAACCTGTCCGAGAGGTCACGATGCTTCCGTTGGCTTTGAAGAAATGTTCCAATGTGCTTACTCAGTACAGATAGCAAGTTTTCAAAGTCCAATAGAGAAGACCATGGTATGCATTTTGCAGAGAACCAACCCGAGATACTGAGAAGTCTTTACTGTTATGATCTAACAACTTGTCAGCTGTTAAACAAGATTGGGAGTGCCAGCCAAGTGCTAAGTAAGCGTAAGGAGGCAGGCCACCCTCCCTGTGCATTTCAACACTTCTCATCGCAGAGAAGCTTGGGCAGAGTGGGAGGCCAGGCCACGCTGATACAGAGGGGTTGGAACTGCCTCTCGGAGAAAAGCGTGCCTCCCTCATCCCCTCTCTGCCCGCCAGGTCCAACTGCTCTAGGGTCTTGATTTAAACTTTACTTAATGATGAACATGGTCTATGAAGTCAAACAAACTCAGTTCCAATTCCAGATGTTTTTCTGGCTTAGCAAGTTAGCCTCTCCATGTAAATGTAATTATGAATCTCTACCTGGTAGGGATGTTTTAAGAAATAGATGGGATAATATATATTACAAAGTACATATAGGCATTAAATATTTGTTTCCTTTCTTCTTCCCTTGTACGAGTGAAGGAATGAAGGAAGGAGAAGGGAATCTTGGTGCATTTGGGTTCTGTTGAGATGGCTCACAGATGTTGGCCTCTGTCCGTGGAGCTGAGCATCTCGGCCTCTCCACTGGTGAGCACTGTGTCATCGGTAGATGCCCCGATGTAACATGCTAGAAGACAGATCACTGGGCACGTGACAGCTATGGACTCACCAGAGCCATATTCCCAACTCTGTTTCCTCTCTGAATATTGGCCCCTCCCCACTGACCTCTGCCCCTATGGACACTAGATGCCCTATGTCTCCATCTCTTCTCAGATCAAGCAAAGCAGAATTGAACACAAATAGATAGATGGATACTTTCCCCAGTGGATGAAGACCACTGAGTCTACTCCAAGGACTTAATCCACTTCTGAGAGGTGATTCAAATGTAATGGCCTAGATATTTAGTTTATAGCTGGAAGTCTGTACCTCTTAATCCCCTTCACCTTTTTACCCATCCCCCTATCCCTCTCCCCTCTGACAACCATCAGTTTGTTCTCTGTCTCTGTGAGTCTGTTTTGTTTTGTTAGTTTGTTCTGTTTCTTAGATTCCACACATAAGTGAACAGGGTTGTACAGCATAGGGAATATAGTCAGTAATATTGTAATAACTGTATACAGGGACAGATATTGACTAGATTTGCCATGGTGATCACATTGTAAAGTATATAAATGTCAAATCACTAGTTTGTACATCTGAAACTAATATAATGTTTTTAAAAACATAATGTCCTAAGTAACCAAAAACCCTCTGGCATTCCAAGACCTATCCTCCACCCACTCTACCTTTCTGCACCCTAGTTTGTTGACCAAAGTGAGGAGGTGTTCATTAACATTCAAACTCGACTTTAATGTGCTCCAATATTCAAGGCTAACAGCCAAAATAACCAAAAAGAATCCATGTGTAGCAGGGATTCCATATGAAGACAATAGCCCAGAATATACTTGTGCACTATGAAGACAGTTAAATGTGACCATGAAAATCCTGAATAGCAAACCTGCTGACTTTTGCATCTTTAAATTGATCACTTCCAGACTGTAATATGGAGGCTTTCACATACAGCTTCCTTTTGGGTTCAATTTGTTGTGCTTCCCCATCCCACCCTAAAAAATAAAACTTAAAAATGGTAAAACAAAACCCCATCTGAGCTAGTAAAGAATAAATTTCCATGTAATTACTTGGTTCCATGAGCCAGGCACCCCTCTCGTAGAACTCGATGGCATCTGTCCCTGAGAAGTGCTGATTCATTATGTGTCCTTGAGTGGCTTTCTTTGAGGCTTTCAAACAGGTAAGAGGTAAAATGTCAGCATCCTGTGGACTGATTCCAGGGAATCAACCCAGTAGCCATAAAGTTTAATGATCACAGCCCTGTTCACCCCAACCAAGGAATTACCCTTAGTGGAAATCAGTACCCCTCTCAGCGTGCAAAGGTGAAACATTAGAGCACTAATGGGAATTGTGTGGTTTCAGTCTAGAAAGACTCTTAGTGCATCCTTCTCTATAAAGTTTAAAGATAAGCGCAGATCCAAACCTCTTCCCCTAAAAACAGCATTTTACATAGTTGCCCAATTCTCATTCTTCACCTTGGTCCTTCTGTTTCTTAGATGGCCTATTTTATGCCTTCCACATTCCCTAGGTGGACTGCCCCTGTTTTTTTCACCTCCATAAACTTGTTTGTTTCTCTGCTACTTATTTTACTGCCTTCCTTGCCGCAGTGTACATCCGACCTTTGCATAGCCTCCTGGAAAAGCACATGATTCGGAAAAACACATGACTTGCATCTGGACAATCCAAGCATCACGTTCACAGCCCCCACTGCCTCAGCAATTGGTTCAGGTGACTCAATTAGAGTCCATGAGACTCAGTGGGATTTTGGCTAGAAATGTTAGGAGAGAGGCACATAACCTTCCCAACAGATTTAAACCTAAAAAAAATGTATATCCAGGGTTTCTGGCAGCATGGTTACCACCCTGGGGAGCCTGGGAATAAAGTCAGATGAGAAATGATGACACCTGGGAGTAGGGTGGTAGCAAGGGAAATTAAGATGTGGATGGATCTAAGAACTTGGTAATGTTTGGATATGGTGGGGGATTAATGGATGGTGGTGTCCTTCCTCCAGGAGAGGGCGCCAAATCTGTGAGGTAAATCATAGAATCAGTTTTGGACACACTGAGTATAAGGGACTTTGGAACAAAATAGAAAATGTAACCAATAACTGTTGGTTTTAGTGATAATTAAAATGTTCTCCAATCCTTGTCATGAGCTCCTCATGGGCATTATTCCTTATCTCCGTGAGAAATGAGATCTCCTCATGGGCATTATTCCTTATCTCAGTGATAAATTAAATCAGCTATTTTTGAATCATTACAGTGATCATGCAGTAGTTCAAAGGCTGCTACCCATTCAACTGTTCTCCTTTCCCAATCTCTTACTAGTATAAACTTGCTCAGTAACTGATTCTTCTCACTAACCAACCTCTAATTAAAACAAATCCCAAAAACCAACAGAGACCCTCATAATCCTAACTTCAGCTACCTCACAAACATTAAAACACCCAATGGTGCTGAAATCTGCCTAGTGGTGTCTGCTATCAGTTGAGGAGAGGGAGGGCTTCTGTCAACGGCAGGTCTCCTCACTTCCACAGATGGAGACATATTGTAGCTCTGGTGTCACTGGTCCGGGAGGGTTCCTTTTAGCACTACAGTTGTCAGATATACCTGGAGACACTGCTCACAAAGGTACTCTCAGTTTGGGCCATACAAATAGCTCTATCATATATGTCATTATAACATCATTATCAGAACAATATCTGAACATCATCGGGAAAACAGGATTGGACTTGGTTATAACTGACCTGGGCTGTTATTTCTTTTCTTCTGTCTCTGTATTGTCTCAGTCAACTTCCCTAAGCGTAACTTAGTTGGTTAGTTCATTTTGGCCCTGTCACTAGCAGTGTTCAACAAGAAGCCATTCCTGAAATAAAATTTCTACCCCCAGACTCTCCAAAAATATAAACTCCCTTGTTAATTCTACATGAATATGTCTGAAGGTCAGACCAAGCACTTGACTTCATTAAAATGAAATATGGACCTATTGAGAGTTATTGCATAAGCTGTTGAACAATAAGCCATCAACTGGAAGAATAAACTACATTTTTAATAGAAAATTAAAGCTGTACTAAGGTAGAATGAGGAAAGATAATGTGGTCTGGTGGAAACTGTCCTGTCAAGTAGGAAATCCACTTTGGAGTTCTCAACTCAGTTCTTCCACCACTTAACTGCAGATATGGTGCTAGACTGCTCTATGCCTCGGTTTCTTTTTGTGCAAAAGGCAGAGGACACTGAATCCCATGCATTCTTATAAGAGAAAACAATGAGGACGCCCATTCACTATGTTTTTAAAAACAGAAGGATTAGGTTTACAACCTGTGGCTAATTCAACTAAGTGCTTTCCTTGAAATTTATCAAAAATGGATCTTAATAAAACATAATAAAAATTAAGCAAGGGCAGAATGAATAAAGCATCCTTAACCTCATCCAGCAGTTAGGTTGGTGTAGCAGCAGCAGCTTCAAAACTGCCTTGGGCCATGTATGTGACATGCCAGAGAGTCATGTGTTTGAAGCAGTGAGGTAATATGGACACCTTGGTGAGTCAGTCATCATTTGGATGTTAGATTCAGTGCCCACACTGTCAGTATTCTCACTAAAAGGTAATTGCTACACAATCGGTCTGCCACTGAAGTTTCCTCTAGAAATTCACCACTCTCTACTTCTTCTAAGACACAAAAACAGTTCAACACAGATGGCTCTGACTCTTTTCTTCATTTTATGAATGATACTGCCCACAGTTACTGAAATTCTTACTTCTTAAAGGAAGAGGAAATGGGGATTGTTACTTTTACGTCCTTTGTTAACATCAAGAAACTAACATATATTTTAATAATGAAAATCTGAATCAAGTTCAGTGTATGGTTCAGAAATGTATTTCAGTTAAATAAAGTCTTGGCTTTTCCTCCAGCCCATCCCACTGCCATATGTATCCAATAATTCAGGCTCATTCTCCCCCCACTGATGAAAAAGGGAGTCACTGAATAAGTGTGACATTTTACTTCAAAAGTTCAATTTCTCTTAAACCATTGTTTGCAAAGTATCAGCAATAAGTCTTTGTATCGATAAATTTTTAGTAGAAGCACCATGAAACCTGAGATGTTGTATACCTAAACAACTCATGCAGTTTCCCATTGCTGCACCTGCCCAAAAAACCTATGCCTCAAAAGGGCCATGAAAGACTAAAAGAAGTATAACACCCTGGCCCTGGCCAGTGTGTTTCATTGTCCCATACTCCGAAAGGTCGCAGGTTCTATTCCGGGTTAGGGCACATATCCAGGTTGTGGGTTTGATCCCCAGTCGAAGTTTCTCTCCCTCCCCCCCTTCTCTTCTTCTCTCTCTAAAATCAATAAAAGCATGTCCCTGGGTGAGAATTTTTAAAGAAGTATAACACCCTGAATATTTATTGACCTGCTTCTACTAAAGCTTTATGGGGAGCAAGTCACTTCATATGAAATGGAAGTCACTTCCATTTCTCTTCCACTTATAAAAATAGAAATAGAAATTCTGGATCATTTGCCTCACTAGATGCCGATAAAGATGAATGGGCTCATCATGCTTTGAATAATCATTAGAAAAGCGACATCTCTTGTCCCTGATTCATCTTCCTCTTAGGTATCCATATACAGAGACATAGGTTTGATGATGGTGGTGGTGAGATGATGATGATGAGAGCTAGCATGTACTGAGTGCTTCCTGTCTTTTTAAATGCATTTCCTTTAGTCCTTATAAGAATTCTGTTATATTCTCCCTTTTTCCAGATGAGAAAACTGTCAGAAAGGATGAGGGACTGAAAGTTTGTAAAGCTAGGAAGGAACAGTGAGTCCTTATAAGAATTCTGTTATATTCTCCCTTTTTCCATATGAGAAAACTGTCGGAAAGGATGAGGGACTTGACTAAGTTTGTAAAGCTAGGAAGGAACAGTAGGAAGAGCCTACCCCACACTGTCTGACTGCAGAGCCTATCTTTTTAATCTCTGTATTCATCGTAAAACCTGAGACATTTCAGTGTTTTATGTTACAAACCCTTTTTAGTATATAAACTGCCAGGAGCTCCCCTGAGAGGGAATGTAATATAATGAACTGTCAAGTCCTAGAATGGCCTCCCATATCACAGAGCCACAAGTTCAAAGATAGAATTCTGTGAACGGTGGCCTGTTGATGGAACAGAATAGGCTTAATCTGTCATTTTGATCGGTCACTTTTGAGCAAGAAAAGACTGGAGAGGGAGACTCATAAGGTGTCTGACACAGTGGAAAGCTTTCACTCTGGTACCCAGATGAATGAGTGTTGCTCCTGGGAGAGTCACTGACTAGATGGAGAAAAGGAGGTGAAATCAGCCCAGGAGCCATCTGTACACGTGGCCACAGGTTTATGAACCTAAGCTACGAGGGAAGGGATATTCGAAACTGGGTGAAAAGCACAAAGCAGTGCGGGAAGGGGACTCTACCTACCACATCAACTTGAGGGGCATGTCCCACATAAGCCAAGGAGAGAGCACAAGCTACAAATTCAGGCAGCCCTCTCCTCACTTTCAAACCTGGAGTGATTTATTCCTATTGTCCAAAGCTAAGTTTGGGAGTCTTTTTAATATATGTTTATTGATTTTAGAGAAAGGGAAGGAGAGTGAGAAAGAGATAGAAACATCAATGATGACAGAGAATCATTGATAGGCTGCCTCCTATACGCCCCAACTGGGGACTGAGCCTGCAACCCAGGCATGTGCCCTGACCAGGAATCAAACCGTGACCTCCTGGTTCATAGGTCAATACTGAACCACTGAGCTACACCAGCCAAAGCTAAGTTTTTTCTCATCCACAAAGCTAGAACAAGAGAACTGATAAGGCTGCCATGAGGAATAAGTGAAGTAATTCTGAAGATCTCTTCCAATGACAAGGGCTTCGTGAATGCTTAGTGATGGAAATGATTTCACCACCATCATAATCATGAATGTATAACCTTGCTTTGGGAAGGAGAGAGAATTTGGGGTGCCAGGTGAAAAGCTGGAACTGGCCTGTTTGTACAAGTGTTGATGCTCTGGTTTTTACAGAGCTACCAAATTATCTTCGTTCCGGGAAAATTGGGCTGGGCTTGGGGCCAGATGTGCTATATTAGTTCAGCTCCCACCCCCTCCCTGGCCCTACCTCTGAGCAGAGGCTTTGCCCAGGGCTTTACCTTGCTGCTTTTGCATGGTGGTGAAATCCTCAAAGGTGAGTGTGCGTACAGGGGGTCTCCAGAACGCATAAGTCTCCATGATGGCTTCCAGTCCGGTTCTGCAGAGAGAAAAGCCAGTAAAGGAAGTCGTAAATAATCCCAAGAAACACACTGACTTTTTACAGGTCCTGGGTGGTTTTTCTGGCAGGTGGTATATACAGAAGCACTGAGAGACAACAGCACCAGTAAACTAATCAGGAAGAGCACAAGGCACAAGTGACACTGGGTGGCCAGAGGAAGAAGAAGATTATTTGCAAGCAAGTCATAACTATAATGGAATTTCACCCTGACCTTCCTTCAAAGGAGGTTTGGTCCGCATGAGAAAAAGAACAAGTTAAGGTCAGGGTCACGAATATCATGAGTAGACTTGAGCAGAAAGTAGCTACTTTACCCTTCAGTAAAGTCTGTATCATTTATATGAGGTGTTGACGGACATCATTTTAACATAACTATCCAGGTTATCTCAGACATTTTTTGTGTGGATATTACATATCATCAAAACAGAGTATTAGATGGGGTTTCATTTAAAGTTTTGAACACAGCTTCTGATTATTGACTTTTGTTTAGAATTAACTGCTTCTATCTAAGTGGAGGAAAGGAAGTTTAGGGACTATGGAGGAGGGTAGAGAAATGGCATAAGTCACTGGAATATAACATGGTGTCCCTTCCTGGAAAAGACAAGTTTTCCCTCTTGAGATGAAACTTATCGCCCCAGGTAATACATTTCCAGAGTTCTCTTCTGTCTTGCATCCCAAGAGGAAAGTGAGAAGTTTTATTTTAAGTGAGAACAAATATCCTTTTCTTAAAAGTCACTATAAAATACCCTGAGGTTCTTCTCAGATGAGCTGCTGATAAACTGATTGGTTTTTTGTATTGGAACTTCCTCTCTGAACATGCCTTACTTGCACAGTTAACTTTCTCAAGTCTTCTCTGGAATCTTGGAGGCTTTAAATACACCAATGTTGGCAAATCAAACACTGTATTTTTAGAAGAGGTGGGGAGGAGAGGGTGTTGCATGGTGTTTATTAGCTGTTAATCTGCTAAAAGTAGGAATAGAAGACATCTCCACATAGTCACCCTACATTAATGTTGAATACAGTACATGAAACTATTTGTAGAGAGAAAGAGTCCAAGCAATTAGGACATTCGAATACTAAGGGGATAGGCAGGTACAGCCACATTGAGCCTTGCTGAATTTAAGAAACAGGACAGGCTGGGTCTTACTGCCTTGCTTTGGAATGTTGTGGCCCATCAGAATATCTTAGGGTTCCCTTTGGTGGCATGGGAGGCTTACTATAAATGACGAGCTATTTATTGTTTGACCTCCTCTATTTCATTCTTCGTAAGAACATGTATCAATGATGGTAACAATATTAGCTCAAGAACAATGAACAGTCCCTTTTCATTTCACAATAAGGTGATAGAAGACTGTGAAGTACCAATAACACTCTGATAATATTTCCAATATTATTTTTATTTAAAAAAATAGAAAATTAACTATTATTTCACTTTCATAACAGGCAAAAAAAACCTGTGGCAAATTTATTGATATTTTTATTTAAAGCAGTCAACTGTATATAGGATAGTGACCATTTAGCATTTATCCAAATCTAAAATCCACCTGAAAGACTGAGTTCCAGAATCATAGATTTAAAAATGGGAGGGATGTTGGGTGTCACCCTATGATACCATTTGGATGGTTATCCAGCCTCTGTTGGAGTATTTCCCAAGGGAAATACTCAGTTTTTTAACAGATCTATTAGAATCTATTTATGTACTCAAAGTATATCTCTTTGTAGAAAAATTAATCATATTTGTTCACTGTATGCCACATCTTGTTTGTCCTCAAACCTCATCATTAAGCTTCGTTGGCTAGATCTAATTGTTAGAAAATATAGCTCTATATATCAGGATTTGGTGAAGTGCCATGGCAAGATAAGCATTAAATAATTCACCTCTCTCACTACTAGCGTGTTTGCTTGGGGATCTCATGGGGTTTTTTTATGTCCCGGTGCTTAGCACAATGCCTGTTACTTGGCAAGATCTCAGTGGTATGAGTCATTATTTCATGAACTTTAACGCGCATTCAGTTTCAAAGCCTAAAACTGAGAGGGGGAAAACTTGATGTAAAATCAAAACTCTGAAGACAGAAGGAATCCTCTAGCACTGGAGATTTGGGAGTCATTTCTATTGATTACGCCTTTCTTGACTCTGGTTTCCTTCGGTTTCTTCCATTCCGGTCATGGCATTTCTAACCTTCAACAGAGTCTGAGTCCCCTTAGCCGAGGCCAATAGTTCCACCCTCATCTTCTTACAAGAGTCCTTGCCAACCACTTATTTACATCTTCAGCCATTTGGATGTCTTTTCAAAGTTTATCCTGTGTAACTCATTGTTTACTTATTCATCATCAGTAAACCCTATTTTTTGCAGAATTTTATCTCAAGGTCCTTAAATGTGAATTCTTTGTCTAACAAATAAAAAAAAGTGGTCTTAGGTAACCACATATCATTAACATGTTCCACATGGTGAGCCACTCTGGGTTTGTTGCACACCGGAGACTGATGTCATCTCTGAGGTTTCCAATCAGAGATGATCAACTTGGCAAGTGTCGCCCTCTTGCTTACTTCTCCCTGTTTGCTCCAGTGACAACAGAGGCCATACCCAAACCCTCTTTGTTTAGTCCTTTGGCTGTAATTACCTCTTTGATTTCCAGGCCTTGTCTTTTTAGACTTTTCAGTCTGCCCCTTGGCCAAACCAACAGAATGTGCTGAAGAGGAGGGAGAAAAGGAAAGAGAGGAAGCAAGCCAAAGAGCTCTTTTCCAAATTGATTATGCCTTGAGATAACTGATTTGGAAAAATAGCCAGGCTGTAAAGAAATATTCTTTCAACCTTCTCATTCAAAAAAGAAAATGCTGGGGCCATCCCTTTGGAGTTCAGCAAATATTTGACAGTTATAACAATTACAACTACATTCATGAGCCTATTAGGTAGCACACCAGTGCATGGTTTCTGCTTCTTTTCTTGAGATAAAGAGCTGCTTTTTATGTTTCTTCTATTTATTTCCTCTGTAGTTCTTCCTTCTGACTCTTCCCCCATCTTATTTGCTGATAACGTTTTCTTGAGATAAAGAGCTGCTTTTTATGTTTCTTCTTCTATTTATTTCCTCTGTATTTCTTCCTTCTGACTCTTTCCCCATCCTATTTGCTGATAACAAAGGGAACATATGCTAGGAATTTGATAAAACCATTGGTTATCTCTCAATAGAAGACAGTCAAGAGCTAAGGGAAGTCTACTGATCAGGATCTTGAAGACATAAACAAGTTATCAACCAGGAAACAATTATTCTAAGTTTGGAGATATTAAGGTAAAAAAGACACAAGATCTTTTACCCTTTAGGTGTGTTCTTTTCAACAAAAAGAGCACACATAAATGACTATTTCTGAACTGTGATAAATGCTACCTACAGTGGAGTTATATAGATGCCATGGAGCACTGAGCAAGAAGTACTTAATATGCCTGAAAATTCAAGGAAGAATCCATAAAAGGCCAGTTATTTAAGCTTCATGTTAAAGGGTACTCAACAGTTTTCTCCACAGACAAGAGGCAGAAGAGCTTTCCTAGTGAAGTTAACAATATATGCGAAGACTTGGAAGTATGAAAGAGAAGGCATGTTCTGGGAACTGAAAATAATTCAGCAAGATGGGGGTGGGGGGATGTGGGAACCATAGATAATTATTCCATGTTAAGTGCTTGGATTTTATCTAATGGGTAATACTGTGTCTTTGAGCTTCTTTCCTTTTTCTTCTTGTTCCAACATTTGAAAAGACACAAAACAAGAACATACTGTTCTTTCAGATCTCATTACTGTATCTCAACTTTCTAATCCTCCCTTGGTCCACCAAGGTGAGGTCAAACCTTCCACGCATCCTTCTCCTTTGCTGGATCTGGAATCAGCTCCGACACCTAGATAGATTCCTCAGAGTATTTGTTGTGTGGGGATAGTCTTAAAAGACCTCCCAACTAGAGGTCTGCAAATTGGCAAAACAAAACAAGCCAAAATTCAAAACTGGGCTTTAGATGCTACAAAAAGTATATCTACATGATGAATTGGTTGTCACTGATGTGCCCTATAATGATTTGGAAAAGCAGGTAGATGTCCAATGGACAAATGCTTGGAGTTGAGTTACAAGTGTTTCTTACACAGTGATTCCAACTTGGGAACCCTGTCCCCTTTGAGTCTGAATAGGTAGCAATGGCAGTCCATAGGGAGTTTTCACTGCCTCAAGAAGTACAATAAAAAGCAATGAAAACATAAAGCAAGCTAACTAAAATACTAAGTTTCTTTGCATTTGACTGGAATGGTCTAACTTTACTTTGGTAATACTGACCCTGGACTCCAAGATGGTGTCAATCATACAATTGAAGGAGAAGAAACTAATGGATATCAAAATACAGGAACTGCCAAGCTGGATACTGATGTGGGATTCCACCCCTGAAGGCATTGCTGGAGTGTTTCAAAGAGGTTACTACCAGAAGAAGAAAGGGAACATTGCTGAGCTTTCTATGGTACTGGCAGCTTATGTGTTTTTGAACTACTGCCGTTCTTATAAGGAACTCAAATATGAGCACTAAGCAAGTACCACTGAAGAGGGCCCAATGTGGAGTCCACATTCCTGATCATGACCTTCTCCCAGCACCTCTGAATCCTTTCATATTGTAATGAACACCTAATGAAAGATGACTGGTGAAAAAAAATTGGTAATACTAAATCACATGAGGGGCAGGTTAGCATCGTGGTTAAGAGCACACGCTCTGGAGCCAGACTGCCTGGGTTCAGATTGCAGCCCTGCTGCTTATTCATGCCAACTTGGCCACATTACATCACCTCTTCATGCCTAAGTCTCCTGTCTGTAAAATGGAGGTCATGATACTACTCCTAATTGTTACCTAATAAATGCAGATTGATTAGAGACAAAATATATCAAAAGGAGAGAAAACAATGAAAGCTTGAGCACCATTGGTCTAACTCAAGCAAAAGAAATCACTCCAACTGCTTAG